GTGTGCACGCGTGAGCCGACGGAGTGTGTGCACGCGAGCCGACGGAGTGTGCACGCGTGAGCCGATGGAGTGTGTGCATGCGTGAGCCGATGGAGTGTGCACGCGTGAGCCGATGGATTGTGTGCATGCGTGAACCGATGGAGTGTGCACGCGTGAGCCGATGGAGTGTGTGCACGCGTGAGCCGACAGTGTGTGTACGCGTGAGCCGATGGACTGTGTGCACGCGCGAGCTGACGGAGTGTGTGCACGCGTGAGGTCCACCGCTACCCTGCGGTCGTCCGCTTGCGGCGCTGCTGGAGTGCGAGAGGCCAGGTCTGCAGCGCATCCACCTCGCTTTACTATGGGGCAGGCGCTGTTCCGACATCGGGGTGCAGGATGGACCCAGCACACGGGACACCCGCACCCAGATCTTTGCCTACCTTCACCGCATACGGACATTTTTCCTGTTATCCGCTGGCTGCTTTTACCGTTCACATTTACCTAAGCTTATTTACTTACTTATTTACGGAACGAGCGGGGGAGGAGCAGAGAGACAGGGAGACAGAGAATCCCAAGCAGGCTCCATACTGTCAGCGCAGACCCCAACTTGGGGTTCCATCTACTGTGAGATCGTCACCTGAGCCAAAACCAACAGTTGGTCATTCAATTGACTGAGCCCAGACGGCCCTACCTACTGCATTGAGGTTGACAAATCACTAGGAATTCATTTTTATTGATCATTTTACTCCATGTAGACGGTCAGTGGATTAAACGCGACTTACTGAAAAAAACTTTTCTTCAGTGCTCCACAGTGGTAATATTCTAATAAATCAAGTGCTCATATATGTTTGATTCTAGATCTATTTCAACAGTTGAATCAGGTTTACTTTTCCTCAGACTTGATCAGGAGTTGGTAAGAAGGGAAGGAGCCAAGAATGATGCCAAAGTTTGATCCTGAGAAACCGGAATGAGAGGTGTCCAGATGGAGGAAGGCACTGGAGGCTGCAGAGGACAGTGGACGTGGTTGGTCCGAGGCGTCTGTCAGCCACCAAACTGAAGATGCTGGGTAGGCACTTGCATAAAAATTATCAAATTCTATCTCTGAGAATCATCACCTTTATAAAACCTCAATCTTAATTTCTTTTTTTTTTTTTTTTGCTTTGCGTTCTTTTGTTGAAGTTGATAGCCACATCACTTTCTATGTCATTGGTAATTGTTGGCCATTTTATTCATTTTAAGTGTCTAATTTTGTGGGATTAATGACATTCATAGTGTTTTGCATCCCTCACCATTATTTCCAAAACTTTTCCACTGCCCCAAGCAAAACCGTCCCCGTTAAGCAATTCCTTCCTCCCCAACCCCTGATGTCCTTTCTGTCTCCGTGAAATAGCTTCTCCTAGAGATTTCCTATAAATGGAACCGTACATTTCATCTTGTGTCTGGCTTCTCTCACTGAGCATGTCTTTCAGGCCCGTCCCTGCTATAAAGTACGTAGGTCACCCCTTCATCACTCTGTACGGCTGACTAACAGTCCCCTGCGTGTACAGACCACAATCTATCATTCGCGTACTGGTGAGCACGGAGTGAGTCACAGAGCCCTGAACATTCACATGCGAGCATCTGTGTGAGTCCCTGTTGCAGCCCTTGTGCGTACCTGGCCAGCACTGTAACTGCAGGTTATATGGACATTTTTACTCTCCGAGGAAAACCCACAGTGCCTGCGTCAGTTTACCTTCTCACTAGAAATGCATACGGTTTCAGTGTCTCCATATTCTAGTAACACGTTTCCAAACCCATCTTATATTTTTGTCACTGACAGTTTTAAATTACAGTACTACTGGGTGTGAGGTGGTTTCTCGCTTTTTTATCTAACTACTGACTAGTGATGATAAGCATCCTTATGTGCCTACTGGCCCTTTGTACGTTTTCTTTGAAGAAACGTCTATTGGTCTTTTGCCCACTTTAATATTCAGTCGTCTTTTGGGGCAGATGGGTGGCTCAGTCGGTGAAGCGTCCACGTCTGACTTCGGCTCAGGTCATGACCTCATGGTTCATGAGTTCAAGCCCCGTGTCAGGCTCTCTGCTGTCAGTGAGGAGTCCGCTTCAGATCCTCTGCCCCTCCCTGACTTGTGCACGCTCTCTCTCTAAAATAAATATTTTTTAAAAATGGAATTGTCTTTATGTTGTTATATTGTAGTATTTTAAAAAATATAGTCTGGATATGTTCCATATCTGCCTTATCAGCTAGATTATGTCCAAATATTTCTCTCTCACTATTTATTTTTTTGAGATGTTATTTTTTTACATTTTTTAATTAATTTTTTTTTTTTTTAGTTTATTTGAGAGAGACAGACAGACAGAGAAATCAGGGGAGGGGCAGAGAGAAGGAGAGAGAATCCCAAGCAGTCTCCACACTGTCAGCAGAGAGCCCTGTGTGGGGCTCAAAGTTACAAACAGAGAGATCATGACCTGAGCTGAAATCAAGAGTCGGATGCTTAACCGACTGAATGACCCAGGCTCCCCAAAATTTTATTCTTAAGTAGTTTATACACCCAACGTGGGGCTCGAACTCGTAACCCAAGATCAAGAGTCACCTGCTCCCCTAACTGAGCCCACCAGTGCTGCTCTTTGGATTGTTTAAATCTCTTGATTGTGTCCTTTGTAGCAAAGTATTTAATTTTGTTAAGTTCAATCTATTTTTCCTTTGGCTGCGTATGCGTTTGGTGCCATAGTTAAGAAAGCTGCCCAATCCAAAGTCATGAAGAGCTTTCCTATGCTTTCTTCTAACAGTTTTGTAGCTGTAATTCTGAAATGTAGGTCTTTGATCTGTTTTAAGTAAATATTTGTACGATGTAAATTGTCAGACTCAACTGGCCATAAATTGAGGGTTTTTGGGGGGCTCTTAAGTCTCTACTTAGAAAAGAACCTGGGAGCTCCTGGGTGGCTCAGTCAGTTGAACATCTGACTTCAGCTCAGGTCATGATCTCATGGTTTGTGGGTTCGAGCCCCACGTCGGGCTCTGTGCTGACAGCTCAGAGCCTGGAGCCTGCTTTGGATTCTGTGTCTCCCACTCTCTCTGCCCTTCCCCCATTGACACTCTGCCTCTGTCTCTCTCTCAAAAATAAACAGAAAAAAATTAAAAAGGAAAAAGGAACTTGTTTGAACCATAATCTACTTACATCATAATCTAATACAACATACTTAATTTGAGGGTCTAGTTTTGATATCTGACCAATTGTTTTGCAAATATTTTTAATTTCCTTGTATTTTATTTATTTATTTCTTATTTTAAAAAATAGTTTATTGTCAAGTTGGTTTCCATTTAACCCCCAGTGCTCATCCCCACAAATGCCCTCCTCCATGCCCATCACCCCTCTCCCTCACCCCCACTAGTCCTCAGTTTGTTCTCAGCATTCAAGAGTCTCATGGTTTGCCTCCCTCCCTCTCCCTATTTTTCCCCTTCTTCTCCCCCACGGTCCTCCGTTAAGTTCCTCCTAATCCACCTATTCGTGCAAACACATGGTATCTGTCCTTCTCTGCCTACTTATGTCACTCAGCATAACACCCTCAAGGTCCATCCATGTTGCTACACATGGCCAGACTTCATTCTTTCTAACTGCCATGTAGTATTCCATCGTATAGATGAACCACATCTTCTTGATCCATTCGTCCATTGATGGACACTTAGGCTCTTTCCATGATTTGGCTATTGTTGAGAGTGCTGCTATGAACATTGGGGTCCATGTGCCCCTGTGCATCAGCACTCCTGTATCCCTTGGGTAAATTCCTAGCAGTGCTATTGCTGGGTCAAAGGGGAATTCTATTGTTAATTTTTTGAGGAACCTCCACACTGTTTTCGAGAGGGCCTGCACCAGCTTACATTCCCAACAGTGTAGGAGGGTGCCCGTTGCTCCACATCCTCGCCAGCATCTAGAGTTCTCTGATTTGCTCATTTTAGCCCCTCTGACCAGCGTGAGGTGGGATCTCAGTGTGGTTTTGATTTGTATTTCCCTGATGAGGAGGGATGCTGAGCATCGTTTCATGTGTCTGTTGGCCATCTGGATGTCCTCTTTGGAGAAGTGTCTGTTCATACCTTCTGCCCATGTCTTCACTGGGTTGTTTGTTTTTCGGGTGTGGAGTTTGGTGAGTTCCTTATAGATTTTGGATACTAACCTTTATCTGATATGTCACTTGCAACTATCTTTTCCCATTCCGTTGGTTGCCTATTAATTTTCTGGGTTGTTTCCTTTGCTGTGCAGAAGCTTTTAATCTCGATGAGGTCCCAATAGTTCATTTTTGCTATTGATTCCCTTGCCTTTGGGGATGTGTCAAGTAAGAAATTGCTGCCTTTGATGACCAATTATTTTTTAAAGCTTAATATATTTATTATGAGAGAGACACAGAACAGGTGGGGAGGAACTGAGAAAGTGGGAGACAGGGAATCCCAAGCAGGCCCCATGCTGCCAGCACAGAGCCCGATGTGGGACTTGAACTCCCGAAACTGTGATGATGACCTGAGCCAGGCCAAGAGGGAGATGCTCAACTGACTGAGACACCCAAGTGCCCCGATATCTGACAAATATAACCACAGAGAAAATACAGAATATTTCTGTCACCACAAAATCAACCCCCCTCCCCAGCTCCTGCCCATGACCTTCCCAATCATCCGCAACACCCACCGTGCAAACAATGATCGGTTTTCTGTCACTGAAGATTAATCTTCAGAATTAATTTCATACATGTCCAGTCATATATATTCTTTTGTTTTGGCTTTTGCTCAACATAACAAATATGATATTCATGGATATTATGTGCGTCAATAGTCCATTTTTAATAGACGTGTAATATTACACTGTAATGATATATTAGAAGTTGTTTGATATTTGTGTTTTTTACCCAAGTTTTGGCTATTATGACTAAAACTGCTCTAAGTATTCACATAAAAATGTGTGTGCACATATATTTTATTTGTTTAGGCAAACCTAAAAGTAGAATTGCTAGTTCACTTTCTTTTTTCAGTTCCGTTTTTTATTTTTTATGAGAGAGAACGCACACACACATGAGCATGCACAAGCAGGACAGGGCAGAGCGAGAATCCCAGTCGTCTCTGCTGTCAGCACAACGTGGGGCCCGATCTCACAGATCATCAGTCACGACCTGAATCAAAACCAAGAGTCAGGCACTTAACCACGTGGGCCACCTGGGCACCACCTGTATCTTAACTTTTAAAAGAAACTGATGAAAGGAGTTTTCCAAAGTGTTAGTACCAATTCCCACGAGCAGCATATGCGAGTTCCCACTGCTCCGAAGCTTTCCCAACACTCAGCACGTCTGGCTTTTTAACTAGAGTCATTCACATGGGTGTTCAGTGGAATCTCACGCTTTCAGTTCAGATTCCTCCGACGGCTGATAATATGGAACATCTCCGTGTGCTTATTGGGTGGCCGTGTATTTTTTGGGATGTGTCTTCAAGTGTTTTCCTCATCATGGGGGCTTGTTTGTGTTATTATTGTGGTAACAGTCCTGCGTGTCTTCCATATCAAGGCCTTTTCAAGTTTGTATCTGCATTGTGTGTGCCCATCCAGACACACGTGGGGCGTAGTTTACCCTATGCTTCCTGTATGTTTGACTTTGATTCGATGATTATGTACGTGAACCACTTTGAATTGTCCAGTGTGAAACAAGGATCAGTGTTACTTTGTGGCCATATGGATGTCCGCTTTGTCCATCACTTTCTGTAAAGGACCATGTTTTCCCACACTGAACTGTATCTCGGTCAAATGTGCGTTGATCCTCTAAGTGGGGGTCCATCCCAGATCCTCTGCCCAGTGCACCGAGCTGTGGAGCGCACTCTGGTGGCTCTGCACCATGTCTACAAAGGCCAGGCTGAGGTGGAGTCGGAGACAAGTGGGCATAATGCGCAGTGGTCCTTCCAGAAGGTATACGTGCTGCCGAAGCTAGCACAGGGGTCCTTCCAGAAGGTGACCCACCCGCTCCAGACAGGTAGCCCAGTGCAGGCTCAGGCATTGTTCCCACCTGCCTGTTGCGTGGAAGGCTGGCCACCCTGGGAGGGCATCCAGGTGTCACCCAACTCCCTAGGATGGGACCTCCCACGGAGCACCCACCACTCACGCCAACTCCCACTTCGCTGCAGTGTCACTATGGGAAGGGACAGGCTGGAAACCCGCTGTCGGAATGGTGCCTTACTTTCGGGTCAGAGCCCATCGGTGAGGCTGAGCGGAGGTGCACGTAACACAGATGGTCGGTGCACACCTGCACGTGCGCTGTGGGCTCCGTCTGTGCACTGCAAGGTCTCCCCCACCCCCCATGCCTCGGATGCCCCGGGGGGCCCCTGCCGAGGTACCTGGCCCTGCACACGGAGCTCCCCCCACTGCCCTGCACTGGCTGCGCTCCCAGCAGAGCCGGAAAGCTCTGGCAGCTGCTGCTGTGATGCCTCAGGTGCACATGGTCGACGTTTTCTTTTTTTTAATTTTTGGGTAAAAAGCATTTGAATCCCGCTTTAAGAAGCTGTTTAAAACTAGCAATAAAGAGAAGTTACCGTGAGCTCGTGAGGCCTCTGAGCTGGTCCAGTGCAGGGCTGTGGGGTGCAGACCTGAAAGGGTGCAGCCTGTGTGGGAACGGTGAGCGCAGTGTCTCCTCTGTGTTCCCAGGATTTCATTCGGGGCGTGTGGCTTGGGCGCCTGCCCCACTGGACACCCTACCGGCCCCAGCGGGCGGCCAGCGGCGTATGGGAGGGACTCACATGGTTCAGAGCCGCCCAGCCACTCCCACCTTGAAGCAGGGTCACCTCCCCACTCACGACCCTTCCGGGAGAACTGCGAGAGGCAGGTGCACCGCGGTGCTCAGGCCCCGGGAGCACATTCAGGACCGGGACCTGGGGCTCCCCCAGGAGCACATTTGGGGCGGGGACTCGGGGCTCCCCTGCGGAGTACATTCAGGGCGGGGCTCCCCCAGGGAGCACATGCGGGGCAGGGACTCGGGGCTCCCCCAAGAGCATATTCAGGATGGGGGAGCACATTCGGGACGGAGACTTGGGCTCAATTGTTTCCCAGAAGGGGCCCTCCGGTGGGCAGAGAATGTGTGTGACGCTGGGGAGGGGAGGAGCTCTGGTCAGGCTTTAAATATAAAGTCGGGTCCTGGTGGCTCAGTCGGTAGGTGTCTGACTCTGGATTTCAACTCAGCTCATGATCTCACAGTTTGTGGGTGCGAGTCTCACAATGGACTCAGCGATGACAGCACAGAGCCCGCTTGGGCTTCCCTTCCCCTACACCTGCGTCTCTCTCTTTCTTTCAAAACAAAACAGGAAACATTTGAAAGAAATAGAAACTCTGCAGTTAACCGGTCTCCTGCTCTGTGCCACAGTGTCCACTGGGAACGTGGGTGTCCAGAACCCAAGGCTGACAGACCCTCCAGGCTGGGAGAGTAAGCATGCACTTACCTCCTGTGAACCCGGCTGCGTCTGCGCCAGGGACACCGAGGGCGGCGGTCACGGTGCGGAGCCCCAGCTCTTCAGGTCGTCCTGCGGTGCCTCATCTGGTGCGGGGTATGTTCTAGGGTGGGATGTGGTGCGGCCCCTCCCGGGGTCTCCTGAGCTCAGGTGACTCGGACCCGGGACACTGCTTAGTGGCAGGATGTGAGAAAGGGGTGAAGTGGTTGGCATGCTGTCGTCGTGTGGTGACGGGAGAGGAAGCAGCTGACAGTGGGGGTGCGTGGTGGGGACAGGGCCGTGACCCTCACTTCCCTCTCACCCGTAGGACACCAGGCACAGCGTACCCTCTGAGTTCCCTACACCCTGTCAGCTCCCAGGAACTCTGGGTGTACAGAGCACAGTACAACAAAGGGGCCCGATGGAGGCTGGGTCCACGGTCGTGTGCTCGGCTGCTTCGGCCGAGACTGGACAATGTTCTGGCCTGCGGCGGCACCCCGAGAGCAGGAAGCCCCGGCAGTGACCACAACAAGACAGGCGGACAGGCAGCCTCCTTCTGCAGGAGCGGCTGAGCAGGTGCTTCCGAGCAGCCCCCCAAAGCCTGCCTTTCTCGCTCCGCCGGGACCCCGGGTGCCCCCCACCCCAGGCCCGGGAAGCTGCGATCCAGCCTGGTCTCCATGGCCTGCAAGGCTCTCAGGGTGCCAAGGTGTCCCAAGAGGGGCCTGGCCGTGGCCTCGGGGACCCTTCCCTGCACAGCATGGGGGGGCGTGTGTCAGGGCTTAGTAACCTCGTACTTTCCATCCCGTGGACGTCAGGCCCCAGAACAGCTGCTCCGTCCTCAGCGTCCTGTGTGTCCAGGCGTCCGGGCCTGTGAGCGTGAGTGGTGGCGGCTCAGCAGGGTTGGGGTGCAGAAGACGGCAGGGTGCTGCACGTCTGTGGTCCGGACACTGGCACCCTCCAGGTGAGGGGCAGGGGCCGGGGGGGGGGGCAGGGCCCGGACACGATGGTGCCCCTGACAGCAGAGCCACCGTGGAAGAGAACGTGCTGTTCCTCTTGTCCACACTTCTGTCCCTCCGTGTCCTGGCCACCGAACTGGACTTTCATCTCTCCTGACCCGTCCCCAGCTGCCCCTGTGTGTGTGGGGGGCACATGGACCTTGACCCTCAGCCCCTCCTTGCAATCCCAACCTGTCTCCTGCCCCTTCTCAGTGCACCCCTCCACGAGATCCCAACCTGTCTCCTGCCCTCACTGCATCCCTGCACGTGATCCCAACCTATCTCCTACCCCTGCCTCACAGCACCCCTGCACACGATCCCAATGTCTCCAACCCCTCCCCCACATCCCTGTACGTAATCCCAACTTGTCTCCTACCCACCCCACTACACCACCCCTGGTGGGCCAATGGTCCCCATCCTGAGATACAGAAATGGGGCCCAGACAGGGCTACCAGTTACAGGTACCAGCAGCTGGAGGCAGTGTAGACCCTGTACCCAGGCTCCTGGCTTGTGCCCGCGCCCTGGTTGTAGGGGACTGAGCTTTCCAAGCTGAGAGTAAACTCACCCTCTGTGCAGCTGGCACGAGCCCAGCCGGGTCCTGCGAGGGGACAGCCTGGAGGCCAGGTGCCCCAGGCGGGAGGAGGTGCCCCCGTGTGCACACCCCTCCCGCAGCCCCTGCAGACATTGCTTCTCCGTTTTCCGCTCCTCACCTACAACCTCCTGATGCTGTTCTACTAGACCCTCGTCACCTCTAGAGTCACTTCTGCCCGGGCGCTCGTCCCTGAGGTCCACCCAGCCCTGAGCAGGGTGCGTACCAGCGGCCCTGACGATGGCTCACATCGCATCTGTCCTAAGAAAGACACCAACCCTCTCTTGCCCAAGCCCTCAAGTGCTGCTGGGGCCTCCACTGGGCACCTCGCCTGCTAAGCCGGCTTCCTCGTGAGAGACACGGTGCCGACACCCCGTTAGCCCCTACGGCCTCTGCTACCACGTGTGTGTCCAGAATAGCACCCCTACCTCAGGCCCGCCTTCCAGGGGAGGTCCCTGCTCACGGGGGTCCACTGGGTGCCCCTGCATGTCCAGTTATTCAGGGCCTCTGAACAAGAGACCCTACGAGCGGTGCCCCTGTGGCCCTGAGAACTCAGCCCGCCGTGCTGCCCACACGCCTCCCGCGGCCACAGTGACGATCTCTGGTCACGGGTGGTCCATGCCATTCCCTCCAGCTTTTGCAGGTACTTTCCTCTTTCTGGACTATTCTCTGCCCGTGACTCTCCCGCGTCACCGAGCTCCTCAGCAGCAGTCCCATCTGCACTTTCCCAGGGGACTCTGCGCCCTGACTCCGTGTCCCCGGTCACCCCCTGCCAGCCCTCCAGCCCCGTCTCCCTTCTTCGGGGACAGCCCTTCTTTCCGGTCACTTCCAGGCGGGAGTGTGGCCTCCCCAGCTGCTTTGCAGGAGAGGCTGCTGCTGCAGGTCCTCCAGGCGGTGACGAGGACGCCGGCCCCAGAGCAGAGGCTGCCGGCCTCCCACGGTCGGAAGTGCAGGCTCCTCACCGGTCTGGCCTGGCCCAGTGACTCCGCTCCTCGCAGGACCCCGTGTGCCACACGGAAGGGGGACGCAGCCCCTGCACGGTGCCTGGACCCGCTCACTGAAGGGGCCTTGCACACTGGCCCAGAGTGGAAGTTCCCCTCAAGAAGAGGGCGGCAGGTCCCAGGAACCCTACTGGCCCGGCATGCTGCCCTGAAACACGGAGGCCAGAAGCCCCCCAGACCTTTCCAAGCCCGGCCGACTGCGCCGCGGCCACAGGAGGGGTGGAGAGCCTGGCCGACCACCGCCCATCTGATTAGACCCGGTGACGCGGCACTCTCCCGCGGGTGCACACAGCCCGCTGTCACTCCTGTGGGAGGGGTCGGGGTCTCAGTGGGCCCGGGTGGCGGTCAGAGGGCAGGGGGAGTGTGCGCCCCGCGGTGTCGCTGCCCCGGGACCTGTAACAGGGCAGTCTGTAACTGCAGTGTGAACACTCGCGGTGGGGGTGAGGGGCTAACTGCAGGCCCGAGAGCCCCGCCTGGTGTCCGCGGGGTGGCGGTCACCCCCAGAGCCTTCTGCGGCTACGTGAGAAGCGGCCAGAGGCTCGCGCGTCCCTCTGTTCGCACACCGGCTCCCGGGGCTTCCGTCCTGCCCCGAACCCCGGAGGCTCCCCACGCCCCCCCCCCAGCCCTCTCCGCTCTTCCTCCTGCGCAGGTCTCTGCCTCCGTGCACCGCCCTTAGGACCGCTCCCCGTTCTGGCCGCGCTCCCGTGCGGGCCCCGCTCAGGGCGGTTCCTGTGCCTCCCACTCTCCTTTCCCAGGCAGACAGCGGCAAAGGACCACGACCGACGGGTTCGGGAGGCAGAGCCCCCGCTCCGAGCACCCCTGCCCCCACCAAGTCCCGGGGAGCCCCGGGGCGAGCTGTCCAAGCTCACCAGCCGCCTGTCGCGCCGAACACGGGTTGCAGCACCGCCCACACCACGGCGGTGCTTAGCGTGCGTCCGGCTCGCAAGGCCTCAGGGCCTGCTGCTACCTTCTGGGGAGCGGTCCGAGGCAGCGTCCCTGCTGAGCCCCTCCGCCTGGCACTCTCCCCTGCCGTGTGCCCGCCACCCGGTTCCCCGGCCCCGGGACGAGCAGGACCGGCCCGTGGGGCTGCCGCTCACCCCGTCAACCCCGACAGGACACAGGGTGCGCGGAAGGGCCGCAGCGCCCTCTCGTGTTGCCTCAGGAACACTGCGCCAGGAGGGGCGAGACCGGGGACCTCCGGAGGCGCAGGTGGGCGGAGCCTCCCATCCCTGCGGCCTCCTGTGGGTCCCGGGCACCCAGCGGGCCTCTCCTCTGGGCTTGGGGGGCACACCCGGAGCCCCGTCATGGCCGTGAGAGAACAGGTCTGTGAACGGGGCCGAGGGGAAGTCCGCCAGCCAGGTGAGAAGCTGAACTGGTGCAGTCAGGACCCCAGGGGTCACCTGGGGTCACGAGGTCAAGGTCAAAGTAGCAGGCGGTATGAGCCTGGTGCCTGAGTCTTTATGAACATTTAGGCACAAACTGGCTGTGCGTTTTCGCGGTAAGTGACCTAGGAAACGAGGGTTTATGCACGCATGGCGGCCCCAGACCTGTGCATACGTACACGTGTGTGTCTGCAGACACAGGACGTGTCTACACCATAACATGTAAGTGTGTAAACCCAAACCCTCTGCCCCCGCCCAGCCGCCTACCAGCAGGTAGCTCACCGGTGGGGTTTCACACGTCAGTCGCTGCTCCGTGTGCGCTCGCCCAGGCTGCCCCCTGCTGTGTGCACACACTGCCACCTCCCGCCACCGGATGACCCTGCGCCCTGTGCCGCTGCGAGCGGTCCCACCCGCGAGGTGGCCGAGGACACTCTGCCCTCCTGTCCCAGCTCGCGTGGTCCAGGGACGGCTATTCCTGGCCGCACGTCCGTTTGCGGGGGCCACCTTCTCATTCCGGCAGAAGTATTTCAGACGTCAGAACACAAAGCCACGTGTCACCCCAGCAGAGGCCCTCTGAGTCCCGTCCAGGACACAGAAAGAGGTGATACAGACGGAGTAGGACCCAGGTCAGGAGGGCAGGGATGTGTCATTTCAGCCTGGAAGTGACAAGAAATGGGTCAAGCTCAAAGACGTCCGTCGGACAACCAGCTCCCACCCTTGAGACTGTGCTTCCAGGAGCCGTGGCTCTCAGGGACTTGCTGGGGACAGCCTCCAGCCCCCGGCCAGAGTCCAGATGCGGCGTCCGGGAGGCTCCCCCGTCACACAGCCCTGCTGTCTCCCGGTGGCCTGGACGCCCGCCTCGCGCCCCAGACTGCATGGCTGCTCTGCCGGCGGCACCCGTGGTGCGTGGGGGCCGCGGGGACAGGGCCTGCAGTGGAGGTTTACCACTGTAGGGGGGGTGGCGGAGGTCTAAGCCGGGAGCTGAGGGTGGGGCTTCGGTCCTGGGCAAACTCCATGTCTGGGTTAGGGTCAGGGCAGGTCTCAGGGGTCAACAGAGCTCATGAGGTGACACGGGGTTGTATGGTTTGCGACTTCTGTGGATCTCAGCTAGTTCAGGGTGAGGATTAGAGTTATGAGTTAGGGTCATGTGAGAGTGCAGAGGTCAGGGTCGCAGTCTAAACCAGAGCTCGGTGTTCCTGCGACTCCAGAGTGGGCGTGCTGTGACCCCTGCGCCCCCTGGTCTCTCCCCAAACGCTGGAAAACCGCAAAGGAGGGTCCCCGTGTGGACATAGCCTCTCGTGTTGTAGGGCCACCTTGGACAGGGTCAGGTCCCACTCTGCCGTCCAACTGGGGACACTGACCTGGGTGTGGGCTTTCTGCTCTGCATGAGCACAGACCCGCAGGAGACCCCAGGGCTGGCATTCCACCAGCCCCTCCTCTGGCATCGCACCGCTGACCCACTGTGTGCTGGCCGGGCCTGGTGGGTCCCAGTGGGGCTCCCAAGTCACCCCCAGGACTGCCTCCCGGGGATTCCTTTCCCTCTGCCCCTCCTGACTCCCCGGGTTAGGACATCCCTGTCCCATTATTCTGTCCTTCTCTGAAACCCCCGCCCCCAGGCAGAACCTCCTCTGTCCTTCTCTCCTCCTCTGCCCCCCCGCCCCCAGGGAGACCCTCTAATTTACTGATGGCACCACTGAGTCTGGGCACAGAGACCTGCCCAAGCACACCGCAAATGCTCTCCCTGGACTGCTACTTCTAGGAGCCCAGAGCCCAGAACCTGTACATCCCAGGTGGTGGGGCTGGGGGCGAGGCACCATGGTCACATGCTCTGCTCACTCCAAAGTGTGCAGCTCTGTTGACACTCTGCAGGGGGGTTCTGTGGGGACTATATCCTGCCTCAGACGCAGGGACATCACTGCTCCGCATTCTCATACAGCTTCTTCCATCGGGTACCCGTCAGCCGGGGGCCCATGGAGGCAGAGACGTTCACAACAGTGGGTGGGCTGCAGGCTGAGGGCGGGTGAGAGGGGAGGCTCCCAAGAAGAAATTAGGATGACAGGGCCCACGTCAGCAGCAGGACCAGGATGACATGGTCCACGTCAGCAGCGGGACCGGGACGACAGGGCCCATGTGAGGATGACCCGTCACCCACAGGAACACACA